AGGGCCGTGCCCCCCGGGGGCGTCGTGGGGGCCCGGGGAAGAGGTGAGGGAGGGGGGGCTGAGGGGGGCCCGCGGCGGGGCTGCCCGCCCTGCGGCAACAGCTCCGCGCCCCCTCAGCCGGCGAAGACCTGGAGGCTGTGACCCCCTTCTCCTGGCGGAGCTGGGCAGATCTGTGCACAAGCATCCCTGCCTGCCGGCGTGGGAGTTGGCGGTGGCAGGGGGGATCCGGCAGTACGAGGGTGGCTGCATGGCGATTTTTGCTTTCCCGGAACAGTGCCTCCTGTAGCATCTTGTTCTCCCATCTGTAAATTTGTTTCTCGCGTGGGCTTTATCCGCCAGAGGTTTGTTTTCAGTATTCCTTCTTGTGTAAAGAGGAAATACGGTGACCTTACTTCTGGCACCTGAACCTATTTGCTGAAAATCTTGAGGTTTCCCAACGTCACAAGTAAATAAAAAAAAAAATGCCAGCGATCCCTAAAGATGACAAGAATGGACACAGGGCTTTTATAGATGGCTTGGCAAAAGTTTCGACCGATGCCCTTTGCTGTACAGATACGGCATTCAGGTAGATTTAAACACAAAATACCAAATGCAAGTGTCAACGTAATGTATATACACTGGCGTGAAAGAGTTAGATAATTCCAAAGCAGCTCGAGCTCATGAAAGTCACAATAATGTTTAGGGAAAAATGATAAATGGCTTTTTTTTTTTTTTAAAGGCTTAGCACTATTAACTTGAGTTCACCTTGCTTAACTAACACACGGGTTGCCTTCTCTCAGACTTGCTTCTGAGACCCTCCGATGTTTCGTTAGAAACAATTCCCTGAAGTTCTCTGAAACCGGGCTGCTTTTCCCCGACACAGAAAAACACGCAACTCATCTGGCTGCTGTGAAAACTTTTCTCCTACACAGGTTATGACAGATACTACAATAAATATATCAACGTCAAGAAAGGGGGCCTCGGTGGTATCTCCATGGTGCTTGCTGGTTATGTTGTTGTCAGCTACATCTGGAGCTACAGTCACCTGAGTAAGTAACAGCAGTATGGCTGAACGCGTGTAGTGCAGCTGGGAAGATTGTGGGGGGCAATAAAAACAATCTGCTGCTGCTGCTTTTAGAAATAAAATGAAAGACTCTGCTAGCCGTTGCTGCTTGAATCCAGGACTGTGGGCAAGCAGACTTCGTCCAGCTATAGAGAACTCGAATGCTTTTAGTAGGTTATCAGATGGCCAGTGTTTTCTTGGTGATGAAAAGCGTAGATCTGGTTGCCTGTCTGACCTGACAGTTAAGTACTGTCATTAGTCATGTCAGTTAAGAAACTTCATGCTCAGATTTTTTTTTTTTTAAGAGCGCTTTCTTTCCTGTAACTTCAGGTGTGGTGTTTTTTGCTTGTGACTTCAGTAAAACTAACTTGCTTTTCTCTGAATGATGCAGAACATGACCGCCACAGGAAGTACCACTGACGTGTGAATTCCAGAACGTGAAGCTCTTGAACAGAGTTGGCTACTGGAAGAGACACCCTGACAGAAAACGTCAGGACTACTAAAGCCTGTACCATTATGACCAATAATAAAGTGCATACACTTTACATTTACTGAGCTGACGCTCTCGTAACTGACTTGTTAATTGTACTGTGCCAGTGAGTTTGTCGTCTTAGAGTTTCACCCCTCAAGGTTAAGTTCAGAGATGGTGGGGAAAGCGTCTGCTACTTGGGTTGCGTTATGAACTGGGGAAACTACTGCAACTGATTAACTGTTTGATAAAAGTCAAAAGCATTGGATTGCTTCTTAATGGCCATTATGTACAGGTTGGACAACTGAAGGATATAATATTTTGATTTGAAAGAACAGTATTGGAGCTTCAAGAGGCTTGCTGGCGCGGCCACGTGTTTCTGATTCCCAGTCAGGCTGTCGCCCGGGGGACTGTAGGTATTTGGGCAGTTTCCCATCGTCGCAGAGCATTGCCTCAGATGAGGTCGGTTTAGCTTTGAGGAGGTCTGCAACTCTCATTCTGTCACTGGGATTCTAATGCTTCTTGCCTCTGATAACCCATTTCTATCACAACTCTACTTTTATTACTAAAAAAAGCTGGAAGGTTATGTGAACGGGTATAAGCTTAAAAGACCTTTAATATAACAAAGGTCTGTGAAGTTAAAACTAAAAGAAAACTGCTTCTTGACTTAAATGCAGCGGTGAGAAGTTTAACAGGAGACGTTATGTGCAGAAATGCAGCTTAAAGGTGCATCTGCGGGTTTGGCCCCAGCTGACGACCTTCCTCACGGACCCCTCCAGGCGAGCACATCCCGCCTGCCGACACCTGAAACTGCAGCTGGGCACTGCGGGTAGAACCCACAGTATCCTTTCCCAAATAGGAGGGAGAAGGAAAACCACTTCTTCGGGGATATGAAGAATCTCTCAAGAGCTTCAGTGGTAACCGGAAGGCTTTTAGTTTTGGGAAACATCTGTTCAGGTAGCGAAGACCGTAAACTCCTGAACTAGACGGGGAAGGTAGCCAGACACCGAAGCGGTGTAGTTCCCTTTCCGTGTGCCAGATTAAGGCATCTCGTAGTTTGGCCGCTGTTCAGCCTCTGGGGGCACGACGTGTTGCGAGAAGCGTCTGATGGTCTGTCACACCACAGTCGCTTAGCCTTCAAACTTCTATTTTGACTGACTCCGACTCTCCACAGTGAAATAACCGCAGCCATTCAAACCAACGTAGGCTCCGGTCACTTCTCTTAATCTAGTCATACTACCTCGTTCTTAAAAAATAAATTCACAGCCAGCTTTTTCAATCAGTACATTTCAATTTAAAAAAAAAAAGTATAAAGGCAGTCAGCAAATGAGAGATGGGTTAGAATCAATAAGGCTCATATTGTAGGTGCAATTTTTTTTTTAATTCGCATTTTTATCATTGGCCCTTTTGAAATAGTCTTCTCACAAAATGAATGGGTTTTGGCTTGCAAAATTTGCTCTCAGAAGAATGCTCTATCACTTTTAAAAGCAGTGTTCCATAAGAATACACATCTCCACTTCTTGGTCTTCTCTAGGCTATGGAAATACCTGCTCAGTGTGAGCTGGACGACGGGGGCACCGAGACAAGGCTCTCCTATTCCTACTCTTCAAGCCGTGTTCATTTCCCCCCTTGCTTTTTGCAAATGGAAAATGAGCACAGATGCAGCTTTCCTACAATCATTGTTCCTCATCGCTTGGCTAACCACAGAGATGCCAATTTATTCTCCCCTTGATCGGTTCTCACCCAGAAGATGAATTTCTAACCTTCAGTATAGCAAGAAGCACAGAAACAAAGCAAGTGGACGAGAGTTTTACAGCCTGATGTACGTGATGCGTTAAGTCAGCCACCAGGACAAGCTTATCGACTACAACAGGCTGGACCCGGGAACACGACTTTGCTTTTTAAGAGCTACAGGACAGCAGAATCCCTGCTTCCTCACTGAAGGGAAGGCATTTCAAGTATTAGTTTTCCCAGTCAGTCTTCCTGCTTCCACAGGGAGGGCTGAAACGCTGCAGGTTTTCCAAAGAGAAGTGGCGGAAGGAAAACACTTTAAAGAAACACTGGCGTAAGATGCGATTACGTAGAGTGCTGCACCGGTGCGGGGTTTGCATATCTATTGGCTTTTAGATCTACCTTTCAGCAGGGCTCAATGAAAATAGGCGGAGGCCAAAATCTATTTTAAAAAGGTTAAAACATAAAAAAAAGTTGTGGACAATTACAAAAATGTTGCTTAGCAGCAGCCAGCCTCTGACCAGTTCTTTCAGTAATGGCATTAAAAAACAACCTGATTAATAGTTCACGACATAGTGCTAGGCAGAAACCTTTTCTCAGTGTTAATAGCTCCCTTGCACTCTTCATTCTGCTCTTTCACTGTCCACTGAGAAAGGCCAGATGTCCTTTGGTGCATCTGTTGGCATAATGACCTTTTTCACCACACTAAAAGAGAAAGAGAGAGAGGAATTATTACACAGTTACAGCTTTATTCCTCTAGCTGCCTTTATTAAGGTAGCCGGCAACTGTTCCGATTTGGAATCTTTTCCACATATGGAAGATGCAGCATTTAGCAGGTGAAGTGAAACATGGTGTCACAAGGGACATGATTTATGGGCTATTTCTACTCCTCGGAGCAAAAGCTGCTTCTGTGCCGGGAGCAACCCGACGCCATGTTATTGTAACGTGCCACAAAGGAGAGAGCCCTCAGCCCATCGCTACAAACAGCAAAGGGCTGTAACACACAAGGAGAATTTCAATGTTTGAGGCTTCCAAGACTACTCCAGCCGATACGCACTACATCAGAGATACATGGGGACTCTCCTGATCGGCTATCCTGAATTAGACAGCGAAAAGCGCATCTGAACAACAGATCTGTGACTTTGCACCTTGAAGCTCTTCAAGCCCAGAGAGAAATGCCAGTATCTGATGCTACAGCATCCTCCAGATACGCAATTTACTTGCAGCTAAAATAATAAGCAGCTATTAAAGGTTTTCAGTGAAATGGATTCAGCTACTTAACATCCCTGTCCAATAACAGTAATTTTTACCCAAACAAGCACCTAAGGCACAGAAGTTGGCATGTGCAACGATGTAACTGTCAAAGCTGATGGGACAGGAAGATTCTTTGCCCTTTTCTAGTGGCTAGGGTTGGGGCTTTTGTAGAAAAATAAAGAGAGATGGAAACGCCATTGCGTCAAGGTTTCACCGGTGCTCCTCAATGAGCAACCAAGGTGAATAGCTCATTCCATGGTTTGACAGTGACAGGGTGCATTTACAGCCGAGATACCGAACAGTCTTTGCATATTCAATTTCTGTTACTCGCAAGGACCTTTCATGCCAACAGGGGAGAAGAAAATCTTTCTACAGTCACCAAGTATAAGCAAATTAACTCATGAGACAAAACTAATATTAGCTCTTACTTGGAAACGTACAGTTTGTCAGTCTCCTTGAACTGTCGTTGTGGTAGGGCTTCCTGTTTATTAGCAGACAAGCAAAGCCTGTCTTACAGCAGCCCTAACTGTCACAGCAAGCCCGTGAGCTGGCAAACCAGCGACCTAGAGGCCTCAGAACTCAATGCTAACTCCCACAGCTGAATCCACATGCAAAACGCAACGTCTGTTGAGCAGAGCGCACATTTCGTGAACCTGTTCACACCGTGAAAGCGCCTTTCGCAGGACCAACACCCCTCATCACAACAGTCCGTTCCTCTGCCCGTGACAAGCAGCCAGCAGCGAAGCAGCGTCACGTAGTCCAGGTGACGTGCGCTCTGCGCTTCTTAAATCTGGCACCCTCTGCTTTCCCTCCTCGTCCCTCCCCTCTGAATTACCTTGTAGCAGGTGACCTGCTCCAACGGCCGGGGTCCTCTGTTCCCACTGTTGTTATTTTGAGACTGCATGACTCCGATGACTTGGGGTGTCCTCTGTTGGTTAGGAGAAGAGTTGTCACTCATTAAGTGCATCAAGGATAAAGACCTTTATGGTTGTTATTTTGTTAAGAAGGGAAAAGAGCACCCCATATATCAAATGATCAATTTTCCTCCAAATCCGTGTGTGGGTGCTCTGCCAGCTGGAGCACCAGAGAGAAGAAATCAAGCACTGAGGCTTACAAAGCCCAGTGATCCTGCTTCTCTCTGGAAAGCAGACTTAGAGAGCAGGTTTAGGCTGCTAAAATATCATTGCCATCACTGAGAGATGTCACGCAGATTACAAAAACTGGCAGACTGCTGCACAACCACATACGATGTGCTTCCATGTAACGTGGGAGTGTTCTGTGACTAGATCTCCCTGTAAAGTTGGAGCAATGGTAGGGCTTTCATCACTACAGCGGCACTCAGGGTTGCTCACTGCTCAATTCTTGCATAGCACCCTCCCCGCCAGGCAGTGCCCCAAGCAACAGAACTGCCGCTGCTGGCCTCTGAGCTGGAGGACAGTACTAAAGAAGGTTAACCAAGGCGAGGGGAGAACCAGAACAAAGCAAAACACCACGGTCCCAGGATGAAGGCAGCAGCAGTCCGTTGCGATCAGATGGTGGACATTAGAGGGCTGGGAGGAAGCGAGAGAAGGGACAGTGCTTTGCGGTTTATTAGGACTTGTCTCCAAGTTCTTAATCACAAAAGAGTATCGCGCCCTGTTGTAAAATAGGAAAGGTTTTCCCTCACTCAGGGCTTTCCAGCAAGCCAGATCCAAGAGCCCAGGTGTCCAGTTCTGACCACTAGACAATATGCCCCCTTTTAAAGCACCGTGGGAAATGCTTCGAGGGTGGGTGCGTAGGGGAGGCAGGGGAACTGTGTACCTTTTGCTGTGTTTGTGTCGGCTGAGGCAGCGGTGGTTGCTCTGTGGTTCCCATTGGCAGTTCAAACCGAGGGCTGGTTTAGATGGAAACAAGAAAATTGATTCTCAAATCGTATGCCAGCATTTTACCATCGGCTCAGTCAAGTAACTCCAAATGACAAAACAGACATTCAGCCAATTAAATTCAGCTCACAGGAAATAGATCTCCCCCTCCCCAATTCTCTTTGCATTCTGATGCTCAGCAATTACATATACAAAAATGGCAATCCAGTATGTAGTATATCCCTCTACCTGTGAAATATTCTGGAATATAAACCCATGTGATCCCACTGCACTGATGGCATCTGATCACCGCTCCAGAGTCTTACTGGTAACTCCCTGAGGAGGCCCTGCCCCATATCCTCAAATCGGTACAACAAACTAGATGTTGGCCAAATCTCCAAAGCCATTGGGAAGCACGGGAGCACCCTCGTTTGACACATACCGGATCACAAGGGCAACACAAGATTACAGGACAAGCCTGGAAGCATACTCACTGCATGAATTTACAGGTAGGCCCCTCTGGACAGAATCCTACTAGGTAATTCACACAAATGACTCTTCGAGTGTGTCGGTGTCTGCAGAGGGGACCTGCAACACAAAGCTCGGTAGTTCACGTTCCTCATATAGGTACCCCAGCACTCAGCAGTAGCAGGTACACAAGCAGATCGCGCAAAGAAAGAATAGCAACACCCTACCCTTCATTTATAGCCACAGAACCAGCAACTGTGCGACATACATACCATGTTTACAGAAGCCTCTGTCATACCAGGGACAGTCTTTGATCTTAGACTCCGGGTCAATGTGCAAGAATGGACATTCTTTGTTACTGCATTCCCCTGTACCAAAGGCAAACACACTTCTTAGTCAATTGTGCAGGTTCGAGATCAAATGACTCCCAAAACATTACCTGGATCATGTAGCTCCCTCAAAGCTGTTACCAACATTTATAAGTTCAGGCACAACAGTCTTACTGCCTGCCTTAACCTAGATGAAGAACACCAAGGGCTCACCCCCGGTGAGTAAAGTTCTACCAGACTGGATTATTTATGTGTGCTTTTAAAAACAATGCGGCAACTAAATTTGAAAGAGCAGTCATGATAACAAAAACCAAACATTTAGTGCACCAGAAGTGTGGAGAAACTACAAATTGCGCACTAACCTCAATCCAAGGAAACCTACAAGACTGTAAGTTTCTGACAGCAAGTTGCCTCATTATGTCCAGATCTCCAGAGCTGGAAAGCAAGTGCATAAAAGTTTTGCACCCCCATGCCCTCTGCTGCTCATCAACTCCCCAAAATAAGAGTCATGCAAAGACCAACTGCTCAGCCTACTCATCTCACACCCAAAACAGAACGTAAGGCATAAGACCCAGTAAAAACTTGAACTTCCCCCCTCTTCCCCCGAGGGACAAGCTCTTGAGAGAGAAGACATCTACAATACGTCACAAATTTAGGGGGACAATAAGGTGAAGGACTACGCAGATCTGAAAAAGTACAATCTAACAATATCATCAGACACAGAAGAACTGTAATGCTCTGAAGACGGATGAGAAGGATGTACCAGGATTCTCTTCACCAGACTCCCACGCCAGCAAGGAACGCTAAGTAGGAGCTACAATGCCCCTTACCAAATTTGGAGTAGAAGTAACACTCGGGCATCTTGGTCATGTCGTACTCGTGCAGAAACTCGCACTGGTCTCCCTTTTTGCACAGTCCTCGTAGCCAATGTTTGCAAACAACTGTCTTTTCCCCACTGATGTGTCGGAACGGGCACATGCCTCCTGCAGAACGACGGGACAAGAAGGGGGAAAAAAAAAGAACAATTACAATCCGCGGCACACGAAGGCACAGGACAACAGCAACACCTCGCTCCCTTCTGCAAGAGGGGTTTCAGAAGACACGGCTTTTTCTTACGAATTTAGCCTTCAGTGGCAATGGCAAACAAGGGAGTTCCAGACAAGTCTGATGCTACCCTCTAATGAGCTAAGCAACGTAGTCTCCAGCTCTTAATCCTGGCAAGCACGAACCACAGCAACTAATACCGGCACATCCACAGCACAGTCTGCACGTGGTAAGTTCAAGCCTTCTTTTACCGGTAGCTTTGCTTATTCACCTCCCCAATTCTTAAAAAAATACCATTATTTCACAATTGCTGCAGTTATTCCAACATCCTTCAGTTTTAGCCTCTATCTGGATTATCCCCTCATCTTTACAAAAAACAAGAGTACTGTAGACAGTGCTAGAAAATCTAGTTTCCGCCCTCCACCCCCACGAGTATAACTGTATTGAAAAATATTACTTGCCTTTTCCACAGGCCGCCTTTAAAAAAAATTCACAGACAGCTGCGCCCGATTCTGCGGAGAGAATAAAGAAACAGAATTAAATTTAACAAAGTTTCGCATCAACTTTTAAAATATTTCCTGCCCCAGAAAGACAATCTTGTCCTCAACATCAAAAGAAAAGCAGCGTTTTGGTTTGGGGAATTTACTTTCCCACAAAAATTCCTCATTCAAGTCTGGCCCTCGCAAATACCTGTATTCGTCTTGGGGGACACCAAGGGGAATGCGCAGAGGGTTGGTGTTTGTTTCGCTTTTCAGATATTTAGGTTTTATTGACGGGATTTTCCTCTGCTGTTAAGTCAATCACGCCAGTGAACTCTGTATTTACAGTCCTGGCAACGACAGTCTTATATTTTTTGACCAGAACAGCCTGAAACAACCATTAGCGTGTTATCCCTTGCTGATCCTGACCAACAGGTATCACCACATTCAACAAAATTAAAACACAAGTTTAGTAGCCCGGCCAGAAAATTTCAGCAAACTACGAGTCTCCCGAGACTACCCGTGCCAGATTTTGGACTGAAGGAAAAGGTTTAGAGGCTGGGCCGCGGACATACCTAACGACAAAGTCCCCCTGCCATCAAAACGCCTCATCTACCAAAGGGGAATGGAAAAAGAATAGCGAAGTACTGTGCAGGAAAGTGCCGTTTATTCACGGTAACGTCTCAATCTTCATTTTCCGGCCTGGCTGGGGACTAACTACGGCTTTCATTAAGCAGGAAAGAAAAACATCTGGATGGAGAGGGAAACCTCACAGGGCAGGCAGCAGTTGGGTGGATCTGAGGGCAAGACCTGAGCAAGGCGCTCAGATCCCCGGTAACCGCCCGCCCTCCCGCCC